CCAAGATTGTTCAAATCAAAGCCCTGGGGTCAAAATTGGCCCCGCCCCAGGGGTCATTGATTTTCCCTATATGCATTTAGTAAAAACTTAAAAAATCTTCTTTTAAAGAACTGAAAGAGCTAGAGCTAAGATATTTAGCATGAAACATGTTCTAATGGGTGTCTACCAAGTTTGTTCAAATAAAAGCCCTTGGGTCAAAATTGGCCCCACCCCGGGGGTCATTGATTTTCCTTATATGTGTATAGCAAAAACTTAAAAAATCTTCTTTGAAAAAAACCAAATAGCTAGAGTTAAGATATTAAGCATGAAACATCTTCTAGTGAGTGTCTACCAAGTTTGTTCAAATAAAAGACCTTGGGTCAAAATTGGCCCCGCCCCAGGGGGTCTTTGATTTTCCCTATGTGCATATAGTAAAAACTTAAAAATCTTCTTTTAAAGAACCCAAATAGCTAAAGCTAAGATATTTAACATGAAACATCTTCTAATGAGTGTCTACCAAGTTTGTTCAAATAAAAACCCTAGGGTCAAAATTGGCCCCGCCCCAAGGGGTCATTGATTTTCCCTATATGCATATAGTAAAAACTTAAATGAACTTCTTTTAAGAATTCAAAGAGCTAGAGCTAAGATATTGAGCATTAAACATGTTCTAAAGGGTGTCTACAAAGTTTGTTCAAATATAAGCCCTGGGGTCAAAATTGGCCCCGCCCCGGGGGACATCATTGATTTTCCTTAAATAAAAATGTATATATATGTGTATAGCAAAAATCTTTTTTGAAAAAAACAAAAAAGCTTGAGTTTAGATATTGTGCATGAAACATCTTCTAGTAAGTGTCTACAAAGTTTGTTCAAATAAAGCCCTGGGTCAAAACTGGCCCCGCCCCGGGTGTCATTGATTTTCCTTGTATGTGTATAGCAAAAACTTAAAAATCTTCTTTAAAAAAACCCAAATAGCTAGAGTTTAGATATTAAGCATGAAACATCTTCTAGTAAGTGTCTACAAATTTGTTCAAATAAAAGTTCTGGGGTCAAAACTGGCCCCGCTCCAAGGGTGTCATTGTTTTTATTTATATGTGTATAGTAAAAACTTGAAACATCTTTTTTTAGAAAACCCATTGAGCTAGAGCTTAGATGTTTAGCATGAAACATCTTTTTATTGGTGTCTACCAAGTTTGTTCAAATAAAGGCCCCTTGGATTAAAATTTGCCCTGACGGGGGGGGGGGATGGGGAGTAGATCATTGTTTTTCATTATGTGTGCGTAGTAAAAACTTAACATTGTGAAACATCTTCTAATGGGTGTCTTCCAAGTTTGTTCAAATAAAAGCCCTGGGGTTGAAACTGGCCCCGCTCCGGGTGCCTTTATGCAGGTGAGCGACCTCAGGGCCATCATGGCCCTCTTGTTTATGGTTTTATATCATAAATATGGTGCTCAAATTAAGATTTATCAATTTTGTAAGTTCCAAAAAGCATAAAGATGTTATCAAATTTAACATTCCATGTAAATAAAAAAGAAGGTAATAAAAAAAAAAAATTCTATAAAGTCTAAGTCAAATTTTTCAATAAGAAATGAATGCATATATTTTCATGATTAGATATATGTGCAAATATTTGCAGTACATATTTTACGTATTATTCGATGTTTGAAAATTGTTTGATAAGCATAATTATATACATATATACAGTTTCACTTCAGTGTGGTATACAACCTCAATTACAACATACAGGATCTTTAAAATTTGCTGATTTCAATTAAGATACTTGGTTTGATAGACCAACAATTTATCAGACTGTAGATTACTTAAATATATAAGTCGATATTTACAAGTTATTCTTGAAATTTGACAGATATACAAGACATAAGGTAATAAAAAAACATTTCTATAAAGTCTAAGTCAAATTTTTCAATAAGAAATGAATGCATATATTTTCATGATTAGATATATGTGCAAATATTTGCAGTACATATTTTACGTATTATTCGATGTTTGAAAATTGTTTGATAAGCATAATTATATACATATATACAGTTTCACTTCAGTGTGGTATACAACCTCAATTACAACATACAGGATCTTTAAAATTTGCTGATCTCAATTAAGATACTTGGTTTGATACACCAACAATTTATCAGACTGTAGATTACTTAAATATATACGTCGATATTTACCAGTTGTTCTTGAAATTTGACAGATATACAAGACATAAGATAATAAAAAAAAATATTTTCTATAAAGTCTAAGTCAAATTTTTCAATAAGAAATGAATGCATATATTTTCATGATTAGATATATGTGCAAATATTTGCAGTACATATTTTACGTATTATTCGATGTTTGAAAATTGTTTGATAAGCATAATTATATACATATATACAGTTTTACTTCAGTGTGGTGTACAACCTCAATTACAACATACAGGATCTTTAAAATTTGATGATTTCAATTAAGATACTTGGTTTGATACACCAACAATTTATCAGACTGTAGATTACTTAAATATATAAGTCGATATTTACAAGTTATTATTGAAATTTGACAGATATACAAGACATAAATCTCGCAAATTTCGGTGTTGGTGGTAATTCAATATTGTGTACGTTATTAATAGCTCTGATTTGTCAAAACTAATTTTTTATAGTATACAACCAATAAAATTGTAGTAACTCCAATAAAGAAACAAATATTTCTGGTTGGGAAATTCCATTATACAAGTTAAATATGTTTTATCACTAAAACGCAACTTAATAGAAACAAGAGGGCCATGCTGGCCCTGAAGTCGCTCACCTGTATATAGGCCCACAGAGCGAGGTCAGTTTAAACCCCAGGGCTTTTATTTGAACAAAATTGGCAGACACCCATTAGAAGATGTTTCATGCTAAACATCTAAGGTCTAGCTCGTTGAGTTTTTTAAAAAAAAGATTTTTTAAGATTTTACTATACACATATAGTTAAAAGCAATGACATCCCTAGGGCGGGGCAAGTTTTGACCCCAGGGCCTTTATTTGAACAAACGTTGAAGACACACACTAGAAGGTGTTTCATGCTTAATATCTTAACTCTAGCGATTTGTTTGTATTCAAAGAAGATTTTTAAGTTTTTGCTATACACATATAAGAAAAATTAATGTCCCCCGGAGCAGGACCAATTTTGACCCTAGGGCTTTTATTTGAACAAACTTTGAAGACACTAACTGAAAGACGTTTCATGCTTAATATCTAAACTCTAGCTATTTGGGGTTTTTCAGAGAAGTTTTTTTAAAAAGATTTTGCAATACACATATAAGGAAAATTAATGACCCCCGGGACAGGGCCAATTTGAACCCCAGGGTTCTTATTTGAAAAAATTTGGAAGCACCCATTAGAACATCTTTCATGCTAAGTATCTTAGCTCTAGCTCTTTGGGTTCTCTAAAAGAAGTTCATTTAAGTTTTTACTATATGCATATAGGGAAAATCAATGACCCCCTGGGGCAGGGCCAATTTTGACCCCAGGGCTTTTATTTGAACAAACTTGATCGACACTCATTAGAAGATGTTTCATGCTAAATATCTTAGCTCTAGTTCTTTGGGTTCTTTAAAGGAAGATTTTATAAGTTTTTACTATATGCATATAGGGAAAATTAATGACCCCCGTGGGCGGGGCCAATTTTAACCCCAGGGCTTTTATTTGAACAAACTTGGTAGACACCCATTAGAAGATGTTTCATGCTAAATATTTTAGCTCTAGCTCTTTGGGTTCTTTTAAAGAAGTTTTTTAAGTTTTTACTATAATGCTATAGGGAAAATCAATGACCCCCTGGGGCGGGGCCAATTTTGACCCCAGGGCTTTTATTTGAACAAACTTTATAGACACTAACTAGAAAATGTTTCATGCCAAATATCTAAGCTCTACCTCTTTGGATTTTTTAAAAGAAAATATTTTAAGTTTTTTCGATCGGTTGCCATGGCAACCAGAGTTCTGCATGGAATTAAATTCTTTGAACAATTTTTAAAGGTGACCACCAAAGGAACATTCCTGTGAAGTTTGGATAAAAATGGCTCAGCGGTTTATAAGGAGATGTCATTTAAACTAAAAGTTTACGGACGACGGACGGATGGACGGACGACGGACGAAAAGCGATCACAAAAGCTCACCCTGTCACTTTGTGACAGGTGAGCTAAAAAACTCCCATTTCGCGACACGTCATTTTCAAAGAAGCACTGAAACATAAATGTATTTCATTTGAAATAATGTGTGTTGTAGATTCAGATGATCTTTTGTCAAAATAATCTTATTTTGCATGTTGAAATTTTATTTACCGTTTCCCTCATATAGACGTGTTTTGACGGCTTATTGATCCCCCTTTTTGAGGCTTCAAACAGTGAAAAAATGCCATATTTAGACCACAAACACTGTTTTACGTTAAAGAAATGTTGTTTAAAAAAGTGACCACTTTTTTGGCGCCGCCCCTATCAAAAAGATACATGAGGGGGCTGCCAGAAGGGAGACGTGCCCCCTTCTGTTTTGGGGGATTTGAAAGGGGACGGTAGTCCCCCTCATCGCCAAGAAATTTTGGATATGTGACAGGCTAAAAATGGCCTCAGGTCGATCTTAGGTTAACTAGTAGCCGACGCTGAAAAGCCTTTGACTCTATTTCAATTCATTGAGAAGTTGCAGCACTTTGAAATCAGATTTAATGGAAAAAAAACAATGCAAAATAGTGACTTTTGGCAATTTTGAGACGTCCACCCGTTGCCTTGGTAATAGGAAATTAACGATTGAGCATGCTGTTACAGAGGCTGTTGTCTAGATAACATTTGTGCCAAGTTTCATCAGTATTGAACAATTTTTCATAGTTTCATATCAGTTTGAACTTGTAACAGGATGCTTTTTAATGGAAACGGCCATTTTTCACAATGTGCTCATGGGGTAATAGGTTTACTTTTCTTATATAATTATGCTTTCTCACCATTTCGTTGCCTTTCTTCGTGCAAGTTTGCGTTGTAAATGATTCTTATTTTCTCATCAGCGATACTCTCTTCGAAATTGAGTATTGCTTTTAACCGCTGTAATAAGTAATTTATAAACATTTTTTTTAGAATTCCAAATGATTGCTTATAAATATATTGGCTTAATTTATGTAACGTGACCTGGTGCAAATAACAGTTTATAAGAAAGATGCTTTTTTGAAGTATGTATATAAAAAATGAATATGATCATCTGCGAGACAGTTTATAAGAAAGATGTCTTTTGAAATATGTATATAAAATTAATATGATCATCTGCTGAGGGGAAAAAGTTTTGGTATACCTCATCTTCATCATAGGGTTGCATTTTGCTGTGGAACAAGCTTTTCATACGATCGCTAATCATCAGATTGTAAAACATCGCACCTTCCTTTGAATCGATCAAAACCTCATTTTGTTCAATCAAGTCATCGTAAAGCGTTTTAAGAGTTTTTTGTAAGTTGTGTTGAACGAGTAAACTGTTTTGGTCACGAAATTTATCAGCAATTGCTTTCATTTTTTCCTGAATAGTTAAAAAGTCTTGCATTTCAATTTTGGCTTTTTAGTATCAAGGATTTAACGTTTGACTTCATCATTTTTTATCAAACTTTCATCATTTCATTTCCTGATGTTAATGTATATAAAATATTTATTAACTTAACATGTTATAAAACATTTATGAATTTAACATGTTATAAAAAAGTAATAAAATGTATAAAGATTTAATTGTGTATTATCATATGTCCATAGATATACATTACTGCTATTGCAAAATGTATATTTACTGTAAGACCTATTAGATAAGTACCTTCTCATTTAAATACAATTTAATCATAGCTTGAATGTTGAATGAATCTGTTTATATATTTAAAAAAAAAGATTTGTAGAAAAAAACCATACCATTGCTAAAACTTCATGTATATTATTTTTGTACGGATAACTCTCATTCCTTAACTGTTTGAGCTTTTTGTTAAGTATCTCAAATGTTTTTCGTTCTATGTCCGTTTTACGCTTCACAGGTGTATCCATTTTCTTGAGTTCAGTCTCAAATTCATGAACGAGTGTGGCAACTAGCTTGTTGTTGTGACGCTTAGACACCTTCTCATAAGCCTTCTCGTATGACAGTACTGATCCGGTTTGCAGTGCCTCTACGTATGTCCGCGTAAAAGATTCAAAGTCTGAAAATCATTCATAAACTGAAAATTTCAAGTGATTTAATTTTAAAAAAAAACGTTGTCCCTTGCAGTAAAATATTTCATCTCTACCATTAAAAAGCATGAGAACAATACAGAAAATTTGTAATGTAATTAACATAACTGATTCCATTCCGGAGGGCTGTCACACAAAGTCGTGTACAATGGCTATGAAACAAGGATACAACGCCCGCACTTAAATAATTTTGCTCATGTATTTCTCCATCAATTATAGTATTAGTAACACATATTATTTCAGGAAAGTATACATAGATTTTAGCCTTAATATAGCCATTTTACAAACCTAATACATGGTCTTAAAAACTGAGTTAGTAATCAATAACGTAAAAAATCAGAGTTATGTTATTACATTGAAATTTACCGTATGTCAGACGCTATAGAAAAACACGACATATGGTTACAGTGCATATGTTGCAAATAAGAGGACAATAAAAGAGCCGGTCTAACCGGGAGATGCTCCTCGGTAGGTTTTGGACATAGATAAGTAGTTTCTTATTGATATCTTTTGTAGTTGCAAAAATAAATCCCGATCAAAGTTCAAAGTGTACAAATAAAAAAAGACAATTACAGGACAGTGTAACAGTTCCTATGTACTGCACTTCCACTCAATTAAACAGATCTACTAAGTTTCTTGTTGATACCTTTTGTGGATTCAGACTTCATTTCCTCTGATCCTCTTTCAAACTTCCATTTTATTTAAATCCGCCAATTGTTTTCTCATTTAAGGCACACGCTTTCTATTACTTGGGGACCATACGCCGCTTTTCATGAAATGGCACGGAAGTATCACATTATAGGTTCAATGATAATCGCCGTATGAACACATTTGCGAATGTTTCTAAATTCAAAATTCTACCATTTCATGTTTAAATGTTAAAGTCTGCTTAAGCCGGTGCCAGGGGGTATGAGCGGTAGTTTGAACTTTAAGTTCCATCCATGAACAGGCTTAATCAAACCGAGCCTACAACATTTTCAATTTTTGTCGTTTTGGTCTCTCTTTAGGGATTCTTTTTTTCTCTATTTCAGAGTTATGCTTCTACTCAATGTGATCTATCTTACTACAAAGATTATTGTTGATATCTTAGAGTAATGTCTCGGTCAAAGTTTAAAGTGTAAAAGTTGATAAAGGGCAATTACTTAAAAATGGTAAAACAGATTTATGTTTCTTCTGGATAACACATCTACCCAATAAGATCTATCTATTTACAAAATTTCTTTTGATATCTTCTGAAGTTTCACAGTAATGTCCCGGACAAAGTTCAAATTGTAAAAATAAACTCCAAATTTAGGCAAGCCACAGTTACGGTTCTTTTGCACTGCACCTCTACTCGATGAGATTCATCTACCTATTAAATTTCTTGTTAATGCATTTTGAAGCTTCATAGTTATGTTTCGGACAAAGTTCAAAGTGTAAAAATGACCAAAGGGCAGTACCTCATAATTTAGGAAAACAAAATTACAGTTCTTCTACTCAATGAGATCTACAAAGATTCTTCTTCATACCTCTTGTAGTATCCGATTAATGTCCCAGATAGAAAAGCAGACGAACGGATGGAATATGTATGCTATTCCTTGGGAGTATATAAAAAAATGTGGTGATTGACTTTGAGGCTGACGCGGTCCAGGACATTGTTATTAATATTTGCGTTTATTCCTCAATGACATCACCGGTCATGTAAAAGTAGTTAACATTTGTGAAAAGGACCAAAGGACCAGAACATTTTGCGATCGTTGCTAGCACTGGGAAAAAGAGGTGACGAAAAAATTGTAAAAATGGTATGCCTGTATTCAAACAATTGTGAACAGTGTAGAAAATTGAAAACATTGTTAAGAAGACAGACATCACACAGTTCGCAGTATATTAGAAATGTGAGCCAGTCAAAAATTTATTGTGATGAAAACTTCAAAACAACTATTTGTATATATCTCATAAAAAGGCTTTCCAAAAATGTATATTCCTCGTAGAAGTGATACTTTGAAAAGAGAAACATTGACCTAATATACATAATACATAACCTAATTATGACATTGGGCCGCATTGTGTTACTAGATAGCCTTATGATTTGTTCTGTGTAATCAAATAAAATGATATACAGCTGATTGTTGTTCATATTAAATATCAGTGAAAGCCCGTTGTGTACTTTGTATTTACGGACAGTTGTTCATGACTTATTAGACATTTGTGTTTTAAAGCGGTGACGGTAACGGACATCGCACTTGATATTAAAACGGGGGTCGTCTCAAAAGCATTTACCTTTATAATAACTATGAAGGCCAAGTGTGGCTTGATATTCGTTTGCATATTAATAAAAAACAAAATATGTTTTTACAAATTTATTAATTTTCATCGGAACTCGAACTAACGCCAAACATTAGCATTAACTTTTTAACCTTTTTCGTTTTAAATCTATTGTATGCCTCCTGATTTGCCCGAATCTGTTCTGCCAAGGACGTTTCCTTTGTCGTCTATGTCTTTCATGCGTATTGCGTCTTCGTTGTGCTCCCCATCACAGGCGTCAGATGACAGTAGCTATTTCTGCCCTAAATCTTGTTGCGACCGAGTAGGTCCAGTTTCTTCCACCTGCTCATAGCGTAAAGCATTAGTGTAATATAAGAGCATTGCACGAAAACTCGTGTTCAATGTTCATTTATTCCACGACATATTCAGGGTGGACCTAGTTTTGGTACTTGTTTTGCTTTAGTAGCTTAAAATTGTATATCACAAATTTTCATTATTGACCTCAATTGACATCTAGTAACAGAACGACATAGCGCCAAACGGCGCGTTGTCGCACTTTCGTCTTGTCATCAACGAAGCACAAACGACAGGGCGACATCGCGCCTCACGACCACGCGCCGTTTTGCGTGCTTCACTAGCGACAGGATGACTGCGACAAAGCGCCGTTTGGCGACAAGACGAAAAGATGATAATGATATAGGTTGTGTTGTCAGTATCAACAACGCAACGCGCAAAGTGTACCAAATCAGCCACCATAGTTTTTACACGTAACCCACTACAAGATTTTCGCATGTCGAATCGTTCGTGGCATTCGGTTTTGTCTACTTTTGTTCATCAAACTTACTTTTAATTTTTTACTTTTTGCAGAGATTATGAATCGTCAAGTAAGAAGCATACTGTTTTGTTTTAACCAGCATTAGCGCAGCCACCCACGGATAAGAGTGAATTTGTTGACTTATTACGTGTCATTTTCATTCTTTTACGTTTGCCACCTGAACCTTTTCTAGACATTAGGCATAGCTTAATCAGATGAAGATATATATGGTGGCCGAAATCTTTTTCGTTCCTTTGTACAGCATCGGTACCAATTGTTTGAGGCGACAGGCGAAACACCAGAGACGTTTTTTTATCTGTTCGTAGATATACATCATTAACTCAGAATAGGGTTTAACTTGTCATGATGTAGTTTCTGTGTTCCAGCACGTATCATATGCTCGCAGCATTGTTTAATATCAGTGTACCAACAGTAAAAGAAGAAATATGAACTCTTATTCCAGTATTTTATTTAAAACTTAAAACTTTTATCATTTGGCCTTTTGTAAACCAATGGAGAAGTATGAAATACACCTGGGGTAAATTATTTGCCGCCGTAGGGGCTATAGATGGAACTGTACATGAAATCTACAGAACTTATTATGCACAACAGCAGCAATATTATTCTGGGCACAGAAGCATTCCGCAAATCATTCCAAGGTTATAATTGACAATGCAAGCAGAATAAGGTATATTGAGTGCTGCTTTATTGGGCATCTCAATGATGCACAGCAGTTCGGTTTGATGCACCACATTTGAACTGATAAACCTTTCCCAGACGACTGTGTACTACTTGGTGACAAAATATATCCAAATAGACATCCGATTGTAACTCAATATTCCGAAGTTCAGTTACGACTGATGAACACACGACATCAGTTACAATGTCGAAAATTTAAGAGGAATATTCGACAGTATCGTGTACGTGTTGAGCATACCATTGCTGCAATTAAGTCACATGTCAGTCGGAACGATATGGAGACATCGTCGGAAGGTTTTACCACGTGTTGTAACGATGTGCACGGATTTTGTCTGTAGGAAAACAAATATCGGATTAATATTAATGAAATGTTACTACAGATACACAACTGCAGTTCATTTTCGCTGTTACATTGTATTGTTAGACGACCCCTTTCCTTAACTTAAGTTCAATAACCGTAATCGTCACCGTCTTAAATCACAAAGGTCTATTTCGACATACTTGTATAACTTCTTCTAGAAAAATATGGTGTTTTGATAAATAAATATCTATACGGTGCGCAAATTGGTACCATTATTTTGTAATTTCGTAATTAAGAATAAGATTTCGTAAAAAAGAAGAAATTTGTACCATTTTTCTATTTTATTTTACTACACATTTTTTGTTATAATGAAATGTTATTTCGATTTAAAGAAACGTTATTTCTAATTTACGAAATATTATTTCGATTTTACGAAACATATTTCGTTATTATGATATGTGTTTTCGTAGTAACTTGACTTGATAATTATGAATACATGATGTTCTAAATTTTGCCCGAGGATTTTCCACGAAATTCACTAGCCGCCACAACACACGCATAACTGTTTTAGGTATAAATCAAGAAAGAGAGACCTATTCTCCCCAGAAATTGAAGAGGATTCAAAATTGCAAACAGTTTGTTCACCAGAAACTCCTAACATGGACTTTACTTCTGTACAAATATCCCTAGACCAGTATGCAAAAAGAAATGCTTTTGCTGTCGCGTTGTCTGACAAATCCAAGCTAACACTTAAAGTACTATGGAGGCAACAATAACAAAAATCGTTGATGGGGTAGTCACTGGGTTATATTCACGTTTAATACATCTTGAAAATGAAAACACAATGCTCAAGAAATCTAATATTGATCTGGAGAACCAGAAACAACACGACGCATATGATCAATATTCGA